CTGCCCACCAAAATGTCTGTGCACGTCCCTGCTTCTGAGAAAACTCTGCCTACAGCAACAGTGAATGAAATCCTTGTGGGATCAAAGGGTAGTGGACTTGACAAAGCTCCAGGTTCTTGTCATACAAAATAGGTTTTAGATTATTGATTTACTTTTTGTTATTTAAATGCCATGACACAAGTTGTGGTTATGAATCGGCTCGGAACTTTGTGCTTACACTTACATGAGAACTTTTTTCTTGTAATGTCAACGTCAGGACTTGTTGCTCCATCCATGCTTGTTGGTTTATTTTTACATTGCCATTTGGTTTTTGTTTAACCCCCACAATGCTATGCTTTGGGTAACTCCCCTTGGCAGAGTCTTACGGAAAGTGTGCATAAAGGGCTCAGAAGCTCTGCACGAGAGCACTGAAGCACTTCACAATTTCACAGTGGGACAGGCCTGAGCCTTCACCGACTTGCTTGGAACACGCCTGAAAGTCCTTGAGGGTGGACTGGGTCTACATAAAAAGTAATATTTAAAACAAATCCCCTGCACATCATCTGAACGGGCTCATTTACACTTCATACAGAGTCAACAGGCAACTCAGCTATTGATTATTGCAAACCTTGGTGCAAATCCACAAGAACCCAAAGCCGTCCTTTACATACAGAGAAAGTGTCTCACATCTGAACCCAGTGGTCCAAAGATTGATAACTGTGGAGAGGACAGGCGAGTGATGCAGTAATTCAGCAGTAATTTAAAGTTTACGGAAATTAAATATTTGATTCTTGGTCAGTGTAGTCAGGGGCTGGTGGGTAGAGGCTCATTTTATGAATTTTAGTTCTTTCAGCTTTACTAATAATCATCACCATCATGACATGGTTGTTCAAATCCAATGTCAAGAGGCTTTTTCGCCCATTGTCTTAACTACATCACCACTCCATGCAGACATCAGCTGTCAACCAGCCTCTAGGCAAACACAGTACAACACACAATGTAACTCCACTGTGCAATAACTACTCACACACACTCCATACAGTTAAAGTTGCTACTTCATTTCCCATTTCTGTCATACTGCAACTTTGAATCCATATAGATTTAGTTTTGTGTTGTAGCCTATTGTATTTGACTACATTGCTTTTATTTTCATTTCGCTATTGCATTGCTGAGCTGACATGTTTCTTCTTGCCCAACACCTTCCATTGTACTGGTGAAGCTGTGCTAACTTGCAAATTGTCAAATGCATCACCTCACAATTTATATTTTTGTGTGCTTTATGTGTGTGGTCATTTGGATTATGACTAGAATTAATAAGAAACTGATGGACTGTAGCATTGTGGGTCAGAGGTGGGAAGGTGAGAATAGATGTACAGACTCCAAAATAACTATTCTGCATGTGGTATAAGAATTGTCACTGTCTATGATTTTTGTGACAATTGTTACGCCCCACGATTATGCAGCCCTAAAAGGTGAATAACATGTAAACTGACCACCATTGATACGAATCAACATCATAAAGTCTTTAAAAACAGCAGAACCATGGGATTTATTATCATCCAACAACACAATACACACAAGGTTCAAATCCCATGCTGAGGCCCAGCAGTCCCCACACTGGAAGCCTCGCTTTTGATCCTGACACAGGTTTTTAAAGAACCTCAATCCACTGGCAGGTGCTCCTCATTGATGACTGATCGGTTTAATCAGGCTGGAGGAGAGACCAGAGAAAAACAGGGACACAGAACAGGTGCTGACTGCATTTATATATGACTCTCAGCACACAAGACTTCCAATCTAAACCTGATGTAAATATGCATCTAATGCAGCAAAATGTAAATAAGGGACTTCTACTGGTGGCACAAACAATTTCACAATACAGAAGGGCCAACTAATTACTGCTGCTGGATTAAAAGTGAGCAGCAGGCACACAAGCAGCCACACTCAATCTACCTTAACACAACACTAACACAGGTGACCTACACAAACGTGGAGTGCAAAAACAGCCACAAACCAAAAGGGTCACAAGTAGACCATCTACACAGTTGGTGCCATGTTTGTTCCAGTTATTTCATGTTTGTTGCTGCACGTGGAGAGACTTGTCTTGAACGTTGTATCTTTTATTTTTCCTGCAGTGTCAAATGAGGGGGGGGGGTACGAATATCTGTCTGAAACTTATTACATTATTGAATGAGACCTGTGTAGTTAGAAAATAGATGAAAATAAAGAAATGTACACTTTACGTTTGTCGTCTTGCCTGCTGTCATCCTGCCTAGTTGGCGACTGAGACTATAAACCTGTTTTTATTATTTAAACTCATACATACCTGTATGGCCCTTTGATCTGCTTTGGGTCCTGCAAACACCAAACCCTGACAGAATGGTGAACATTTCATCACCAATGCTGAATGAAAATGGGACAAATGTAGATTATGACATAATAAGATTTTATTCCATCTTGGCTGTTCATACGGGTGGTGGAAAGGAAACCTCTCCTGTATATTATAGTGTCCCAACTCCCACCTGACTGATGTCTGACAGCTTATATGCACTTCCAGCGGATCTGCTTACAGAAAAGAAATGCTGTTGTTATCTATCCCCAGAGTATGTATATATTCCCCTATAGTGTATGCATTATCATTAATCAGCTTTATAGGCTTAACAGTGCAAAGCTTATATGAAATGAAGAAACATGTAATTTGTTAGGAGGATTCAAATGTAGTGTAGAAGTTAAATTAGTTTCACATATGGAAATAATCCTGAGCAAGAGCCAGAACTACACAGTTCACAATCCAAATTCTTCAAGAATAAGAAAGTCTGCAGGGTCCTTTTACTTAACAGGCCACTCTAAAATAACTCAACTCCACAGCTGTAAGTGATGAGAAAACATCATCCCCATCCTCACTGTACAACTAACTTCCTTCAACAAGGCTCGTGGAAATCATTGTAAGGCCTAAAAACAAACCAGAACCTGAGATAACATGAAAACTGAAATGTGTAGGATTCTGAACAGATTATGAGGGTTTGTCTCATCAAACACAGACGGTTCACTGTTGAATAATTTAGCTACATGTTCCCACTGAAGAGCAGCTGAACCAAGAATGCTGCATTCCAGTCCTGAGGGGGTTCGGCCCATCTCTCATGAAACATGAAACAGCAGTTCTGTGCCTTGAAAGCTGGAGGAGGCAGCAGCGGACAAATTGTTTCCTGACACGTGGAGAGGAAACAGTGGCGTGGCATTATCGCTGGCAAAACCAATCTGCATGCTTTATCTTCTCTATATCTCAATGGACCATCAGGTATAAGGAGAGCAGCCTCGACTTTCTCCAATCTGCATGTTAAAGTGTCCTTTTGAAAGATATGAATTCCAATTTTCAGCCAATAGTTATACTATAAATGACATTGGTGATTAAAAAAAAGTATAAATACAGTATAGGTCCCCTCACTGCTGCTCTTTATCATGTGTTCTGGAGGTGAAGGGTCTGCAGGTCAGTTCAGCCAATGTCAACAGCAATTAAACCTCAAATGTTATCCCACTCTGCATATGTTGGTACCACTGCACCATAAATCCACTAGAGGGAGCAGCCACACAAGTAATGATGAGTTCTGCTGTAACTGCAATGTTATCAAAAGGACTGGGATTTTTATTCTAGTTATTATAAAGATGGATGAAGGTTGACTTAAGAATCAGTACCACACTTAAGTTTACTTGCTGCATATGTGTCTTGTACAGCAGAGCAAAGAGTTGAGTCCAAAGAGAAACATTGACCACTTGATTCTGAGACTGATGTCCTTAATTACTCTCCATACTAATGTAAATGATCTTGTTTGACTTGTCAGCACCACCCTCATGCAAACACAAAACGTAATGATAATACACTTATGCTATATGATATAAGTCTTTCCATAGCAAGTCATATAGATTCTTTAAAAAAAAGAATGAATTAAATAAAAGCTAAAGGAATATGCTCCAAATGGCACACACAATAATTTGATGCAACATGCAACAATATTTTCATGCATTTATTTCCATACATTTATTTCTCTATTTCCATGTGAGGTTTTGTCAGCTTGTTGGTTTGTATAGGTACTGCAAAAGTTAACACTTATTTAAAGTAATTTAAATATTTTGGGACTGTCTGAAAATGTGTGCTTTAGTTTCAATTATTGAGAATTTCAAAGCTTTTTACATCACTTAATTTCTTTTAATCTTCCTTAAGGTTGAGGTTCTGTCATTATTTTGTACAAGATGTAACTTTCTGCCTACAGGAAACTCTCAATACAACAACAGAGATTGATGACAATGTAAGGTAGCGTGGGATCATTTGTTTCCCTGTCCTCCATTGCCTTCATTCCAGTCTGGATTCCTTCAGTGTTAATTATTCTTAAAAGATTCTCAGCCATATAGGTGATGGTATCTTCAGGATTTGTACATGTGTATTCAGGCAAGTGGACCTTATTTCTCATAATACTACAACTTTGTTTTCGGAAAATTGCGGCTTAATTTAGCGTAAAAAATTACAGCCTTGTTCTTTAAAATCAGATTGTTTCCCCCAAATGGCCCTAATACTCTGTGGTAGTTTAAATATATATATATAAATCAACAAAAGTCAAATAATGCTAAGTAATAATAGTACATAATTACAGAAAACAAACAAAAACTGTTTTAAAGTGGTGAATGTGTGCTACCAACCAAAAACAGACTTGGCCAAGCTATGCAGTTAAATTACTAAGTTATCTAAGTTTGAAAATGACTAAACAACTAATATAACATGTATGTTAAAGTTATAAAACCGGACCGAGTTCAGTGTATGCAATGCATTTGTTGTTTTAAAAACAGTACATGTCATTATAATTTGCCTTTGATCCTAATCATTTGAATATAAACATTGGAAAATGTGAATCAAGCTCACTGAGCCACGCCCTCTGTTATATGTGTAGGACGTGGCCCCGCCCCCTCATGCAGCCTCCGATCTGATTTGTGGGCGTTGACTTCCGGTGTTCGACGTCTGCATGTTCAGGTTTCACAGTGCGTGGGTGAGCGCGTGCATGTGGGCGTGCGCGCGCGTGTGTCGCATGTGTGAGTGACGGTGCCTGACGAGAGTTTTTCAGCGCGGCTGGAAAACGTCCGCATCTCCGGTGCTGTCACCGCTCCGCACCGCGGCCACAGCCCCGTGTTCGCTTCATGCAAGTTCCCGTCCCGGCTGCACAACCGTCGGCCAGCGATGACTGAGAGCCCCGCCACCAAGCCGGCCGCCGGGGAAGTGTGTCAGCGGGTGAAGAACGGACTGAAGCCGGAGAGTAACGGCTTGCTGAGGAGCCTCCACCGCTGCCACGAGCGGCAGCACAAGCGCCACTGCCACCCCGAGGAGGAGGAGGTGAGGCCCGGGGATGGGACGGTTGGGGTGGGGAGGAGAGGCTGCTGTAACGCGGCTGGCTGACATGTTGTCATCGTAGTTAACGAAAATGACAGGATCAACGATTGAATGCCCTGATAATGCAGAAAATCTCATTTTGTTGTCGAGACAAGACACCAAAGTCCTTTCAAAACTCATCGGATTATAGAGTTTCCGCCCTTTGCTGATTCCTCTTCTCCTCCACGGCGTGAATCAACGTGTCTCTTCGAGTCCTTCGGAGACGGTCCTCCGTTCGGCATACTTGTTGTTTTCAGAGCATTATTGCAATGCATCAAAAATCTCAACTTTATGAATGGGTCTATGCTGCGCTACACCGCCATCCCGTTTGTTTCACAAGAGGAAGGTCGTAGTGACATCTTTGAAAGTTGACATTTCACAATACAAGTCTGTGTAGTCAGGAATCCTTTTTTTAGTATGACTCAGTGGCTGACACAGAGAGACCAATTGTATGTTCAACATCCATTCATGATTCCTGATCAAGTGAGGTGCACATTTAAGTGATTCCGTTATTTTCAGCTCTATAGTTTGGAGGCCACACATCCTTAAATATTAGATCATTTCATATTTTGAAGATTGTTCCTTGTTCGAGCACATTGTTTACTTAAAAAAAAAAAGCTGAGGAAGTTAAGATTCCTGACAAATTCTCATGTTTATTATTAGTGTGGCTGGTAAAGCCGTGTTCAGTCTGATCGCCCCTGATCGGTGTTCGATTGGCAGTCACCCATTGCTATGTTTTTCTTGGCACAGGAAGTAAATGTTTTATTTGCCTCCTTGCTTGCATGGATTGGAAGTTAACAAGGGGCGAAGGTTTACTACTGATGCATCCTCATATGTGTGACAAGAACTACAGACAGAACAGGGGCACTTCTGGGGCCAATCAGCTATCAGCAGGGACCAGTGCCCCCTTGCCTCACTGCTGGATCCACCCCTAGTATAACTCCTAACAGTTTCAGAATATTATCTCAGTGTTTAATGATGCACATACCACCAGGGTCAGTAAAACCACTTGGGACTGATCACATGTTTGCTCTAAAACCTGCCTGGCTGTCTTTTGTTTGTTTCTTGAAGTGGTTAACTGCCTTTACATCTGAAGCCTGAAGCTGTGATAGGTTAAGTGGTTATGGAGACACTGAGCTGGTGCTCATGTTCATTCAGAGATGCCGCTATTGAGGCCGCATGCATGCTGTAAACCAGCAGTTTCCAAAGACGCTAATGAAATTTCCACACTCTGGTGCACCCTCTGTGCCTGTCCCAATTAACAGATCCCCTCTGAATACATGAGTAGATAATGTAGCACACATGGGTCCCACACTCATAGACATGTGGTACAGTCATTTCAGTCTGATAAGCAAAATGAAAAGCAAAGTGGAGTGAAAAGTTGAACAGTAGAATTCTACGTCTTCGAAATTCCTTTTTAATCAGTTTTTTCTTCTACATCACTAAGGCAAAAACATTTTCGGTGACCGTCAGTCATTGAGTGATAATGATAATTCAGTGGGGAAACTGTCAGCAGAAGCAAAGTATATGTATATATATATATGTATATATTTATAGTCATCTCCAGTTTGAGATTCTTAAGTAAAATAAAAGGAGAGACAGGGAGTGGACAGGTTTTGTCATCACCTGTGTCTGCAGCTCCACTGGGTCGGTACGGGCTCAGAAAGCGAGCACATGGGGACTGAACCTCAGCTGATCACAGTTCATGCAGATGTCAGCGCTGCTGCTCTCTAAGGTATTTGAGAGAGAGGCATGACCGGTCACATGTAGCGCCTAATAGTCATGAGCATGATGGCTCCCCTCTGTCCACAACTTGTGTGAGTCGCAGGTTTCTGTCCATCCACTTGTCAAAATTGAGAAAACCGACATGTAAAGCGGATTTTCTGTGTGAAAGTTTGATACTTGTACAGTTTATTATTGCATTAGAGATCACTGAGTTCACAGATTTCCATCAATGTAGCCAGCTCTTCTCTTATTTGGCAGTCAGACCTCAGTGCTTTCTTCCCTCTATAGCTGAAGAACTCAATGCTGCGTCCTTATCTTCCTCCCACTTACAATTTAGCTGCACATGCTATAAGTCACCTCTGAGTAAATTACACAAACCTCCAGCAACAACAACAAAAGAGTGTCTTTTTTTTTTTTTTAACCACAGGAGAGGGAGTCACAGGAGATCATAGTGCACATTTATATCAAGAATATTCCAAATACTGCAGTATTAGTATTACTGTAGTTAGTCTTATTGTGGGGAGAATCTGTTCTGGCCAGTATACATTAGGTAACTGCCATGGCTCCTCTGATTCTGTTTCTTCACCATCAGATTGGACATTTGGGTTTTTAACATTTCACATCCAGAGACATTGTAATATATTTTTGATTTCACACACCTATATGTATATATATATATATATATATTTCACAAATAACGTTATGTATTATGAGAGTTAAGTAATTTAATACTAGAGCGAATACTTCCGCCAAGGCTTATGCCCTCTCTCGCCATGTTAGAGGAAGTGAAATTAAATTCCTGTATCTGCTCCAGATTGTAATGGATTCTTCCTTGGGTCATGCCTCAGCCCTTAACAAATTTTCATATAAATCAGTCACGTAGTGTTTGTGTAATCCCGCTAACTAACAATGACACAAACAGATTAAAACATAACCTCTCGGTAGACATTGCCTATTTTCAAAATGATACTGTAGAAGCAACCTGCAAAACAGATGGACTGAAATGTTACTTCTCTGAAACACTATAAAGAAAACATTTCAAATAAAGACTCATTCCAACTTAAATTAACAGAATATTAACATCCAAAGCAATTGCTTCAATAATCCTTTCGTCTTCATCACCATAGTTTAGAATTCCTTGTGTTTTTCTTGTTTTCTCAGTAGATTTGACTGTTCTCCATGTTGTTTAGGTCCACACATCCTCCCATGATGGCAGCCTGTACAATCAGCCATTTATCGAGTCGTTTGAGGAGACGCCCATGCTGGTGGCGGTGCTCACCTACATGGGCTACGGCATCCTGACGATCTTCGGGTACCTTCGTGACTTCCTCCGTCACTGGAAGATCGAGAGTTGCCACATCGCCAGAGAGAGGGAAGAGCATAAGGTGAGAGAAGCCTCAGAAGCAATGTGTTCAGTTACAGGAAGACAAACAAATGCAGGAATGAGAGTAAAAAAAAAAAAATCATCTGACAATGGTGGAGAAACTTTTTCTAACATAAACAGCTTTGGAGTGATCAATCATCACACATCTAATTACCCTGGGTGTGTTATTTCTTCCCACACAAGGAAATTGATCTTTTTATTGCAAAGTTGCTGCCAAGAAAAAAGGAAATAAGGAGCGTTTCAGGCTGTTGAACTAATTTGTTAGACGGAGCTCTAATTATGTTGCCTGGTGACTCAACACATAAACAACAGCAGCAAGGAATGGAAAGTAAAACCTGATCCATTTGTAATTTTTATTTACCCGACTTAACCAAGGTGATATTTTCACACAGCAAAGATTCCAAACATTAGAAGCTTATTAATCAGTCCTCATCAAACCAAACCAACAATTAACTTTTGATAATTCTTATCATTTGTGTGCTCGACATATATATATAAACAGTCTATTGTGCAGAGTGAAGTTAGAAAACGTTGTGTTCATCCTACCTGGTTAATCTCCAATGAAGATTTATAGAGTCAAGTTTGAATGAGTCACTGAACTGTTGTTATTTTTTTCATACATTGTGTGGTTAAGCAATGAGCACATTCTTCAGACCGAAGTTCACAACTTTTCAAAATAAAAGCTTTGCAATTCAGCTTAATATAAAGCTTGGTAGCAACAAAACAAATGCTATGCTTTTACTTTGCTAAAAAGTTGAAGTGATTCTATGAATGTTGCAATGATGGAGATTGACACCCGCGTTACCGGTAAATGTCTGTCAGCTAAGGTGAAGTAAAAATAAAGATCAAATCATCAAAATAATCAGTTGGGCAGATCTTTTTTTAATTTATCTGCGGATGTAGAGGCAGACATGTCTACTGACTGCTGCAGAGTGCTGGTTGCTTGCTATACATAATAAAGTATCAAGTTTCCAAATGGCACCAAATGTGACACTGCACATCCCTGGGAAATTAACATTACACATTTTTAAGTGAAGTTTACCAAAGAAGTTAAAATGTAATCTTGTGATAATATCCCAAACAGGAAATAGATGGTGAGAAAAGTCTGGAATATTCAGAAAGATCTGTGAGCCTCACAGTCAAACTCAGTGAGGTTTAATAATATTTGAAATATTCTCCTTTAGGTGCTTTTCTTCACAATCATGTGCAGTGTGAAAGTTTAAGAGAGCATTTGTGTCAATGCACATCCAGTGGTGGAGTTATCAGCCCATTTGGAACGTGTCCCCCACTGCTGAGATTGTTTTTCCTCAGTTATGTAAGGTTTGATAACGACGCCCATTGTTTTAAGTGTTTGGGTATGTTGAGGAAAGGAAGCTCATGGAATAGTCGCAGGGAAGTTATCAAATCAGCCCGAGGATATCCCACAGATGTCCCCTCCAAGAAGCGAGGAAAATAGCCTCTCCCAGTCATGTTTTATATTTCCAGAGATTAAATTCCTTCCAGCTAAGCTTTCCAAAAGTATGAGAGGCATGTAGTTTTAAAGGCACATGTAGTTTTTATACTCAATAAAACAAGTGCGCTATAGCGGGAAATTCCTAAACTCTGCCGGTCACGAGCCTCCACACTCCCATTCACTGTGCTCTCCTTACTCGCCCATGTCTAGGACTTTGTGCCACTCTACCAGGATTTTGAGAACTTCTACACCAGGAACCTCTACATGCGGATCCGAGACAACTGTAGCAGGCCCATATGCAGCGCCCCCGGGGCCAAAATGGACCTGCTGGAAAGAGTGTCCCAAGACTACAACTGGACGTTTGAGTGAGGAAGACTTTTACCTTTTATTCATGACTATACAATACATATATTACTTCACAAATTGGCCTCCAGGTATTCAGACAGTGCAGAGCCAGACATCACTATGGGACAACAGCAAGAGAGAATATCTCAGTCAAGGCCAAGTTCTGGCTGTGCTAACACTTCTATCTGCTTCAGGCACAGAAGAGACAGACATGTTTCATTTCAGAGAAAGGACTTAGTACTGAGTAACGCTACTGGACAGCAAAACAGTGAGCAGGATTTGACCTACCACTGAGACAAGCATAAGTTAGTACAATATAAAACACATTTTTTGAGCACTAAATGAAATTGGCCTTTGAGATTTAAACATATGTGTATAGTCAGTGCCCATTCTAAACCTGCCTGTTTGGAATGGGCTGTTTACTCGGCCTGTGGTGATGCTGGTTGCAGATTTCTTTCTGAAACTTGACTTATATATAATTGAACCACAACAAGTAAAGGCCTGCTGCTGGCCTCAGTCCACATATCCCCTGAAGCTGCTGTAGCACTAAGAGCTGTTCATCTGTGTATTCTAAGTTCAGTGAAGCTCCCCTCAGTATGTGAATCGGTTGTCGGCGTAAATGCACCGTTTTCGTGATGGACAACGTCACCGCTGCTGTACAGCACTGGTCACCTGTTTACTTTCAGTGCATTTGTAGGTGAGGCGAAGAAGGCAGAACTTTATTTTACCAGTTTATTGGTGCGCATAGGATGGATGTGTGTGGTCTGCAGGGAAATTAGGTAACCAGATTCACCAGATAAAAGTGGTTTCATTGTAAAACACTACTCATTAAACAGTATGTTAACAAACTTAACTGTATCAACATAAATGAGCTCTGTGGGAGTAGCATCCTACACAGGCAAGGAACACAACAAATATGGTAATATGCACTTAAGTAAACACAACAAGAACAAACTGGTAGCTTGTCCCTCTGTCTCTAATTGATCCAAAATTAAGATACATGATTCTGTGTTAATAATAATTATGTCAACCTATACATTCTAATCGTCATACGATGAAAATTGATTCGTCCATCAGCTCATCGAGAAAGCAGTAATTGTTCCAGCATTAGCAGACATAATCGATTAATCTGTGTACTTATTTAATAGATGATAGATTCAACAAATGAGAGAGCAGTGGAACTGATGCTCATCACATCTTCACATCTCTTATTTTGTCAAACCTTTTTTCAAAGATATTCAAAAAACAAGGTTATAAAACCTCGAAAGCAGCAGGGCTTCAGACTAAGAACTCTGGACTGTGTTCTTCGTAAATGAGTTTCAGAACAGCGACATATTAAACATCTGTAAACCCTGAACGCACACTCTACTCTTTACCTGCTATATGAGGGAGAAAGACGAGATCTATAGAATTCAATTTATATAACTCAGAATTTGAATTCAGACATGGCTATCTACTCATATTTTATCTTTTAACATATAGCTTTATGGCAGGTCTATTATAATGATAAAAATAACTATTTATAGAAAACAAAGAAACACAAAAAGAAAACCAATGGTTAAAAACACAGAAGGAGGTACATAAAAAATCATGGTAATAATGATAATAAGCAAGATAAAAAAAAATGAATATCTTTGTATTTTATTGTATAGATAAGGAATTGTTTATAATCTCAACAACAATACCCACAGTGCAGATTAGATGCGATCACAGTTGTATCTAGTCTGAAATGTAAATCCATGTCTCTTCTTCGCTACATGGCTGAAGTGAAATGAGCCAAGTCTACTTCTCTCACACATGACCGCCTGCAAGTGTCAACATATCGGATCATGTTCCACTTGCATTGTCTCCTTCTGCTTTGGCCTAAGCTAGGGCATATGTAGCTCACTTTACTGATGCACACTTGTGACAGTAAGACATCTTTCTGTTTTGTCATCATGACTCCTCACTGGTTTGAGGAGCAGCCGCAGCGGAGCTGCACGTGTGAGGTCAGCCCTCACACACTATGGCAAGAGAGGAAGAAAAACAGAAAATAGAGATCATGTGGTTCCTGTCAGAGAAAGAGGGGACAGCTGCATCTCACATTATGTCAGATTTGAAAAACAAAGAGCACTTTGGTGCATTCCAGCTTTACAATCTTTTTCAATATATTGTTTTGGTACTAGCACTATGCTTGAAACAACACCAGCTTCCTCTCATTGATTGATTCCTCTGTGCGATTCTCCCTCCCAGGTACACAGGTCGGGCTTTGCTGGATGTGATTAACCTGGGCTCCTATAATTACCTGGGCTTTGCTGAGAACACAGGTCCGTGTGTCGACTCTGCGGCAGAGGTCACCATGAAGTACGGCGTCGGAGTTGCAAGCACCAGGCAGGAGATGGGTACAAACACTCACCAAAACACACCCACTATTCCTGCTGCCCCTGAGGGATTGATATTGATATCTGTTTAATATCGTAGTTCAATTTCTGCTGCACAACAAACTTTTTTCTGACAAAGCCTTTGGAGGCTTGTAAGAATCTATGAATTATGTGAGTAAAGTCAGTGTCACTTATCAGAATCAATTGTTTCTATAACCATACTTGGATTGAAACTAAGGGCTGTCACGCAATCATAAATATGTACATAACCAGAATGGGACTCTGTTGAGCACATTCCTCAGTGAAGGCCCAACAGTCCAGAAGAAAAGGGAAACACTCTTCTGTACTTTCTGTATCTGCACCAAAATTTTAATTTTTTTCTCCTGACTCATACTGCATCCCTCTACCAAGTTTCATTGAAATCTGTTCACTTATTAGTGTGTAATCTTGTTACAACAAATTTTCAAAATAAAATATGCTAACAATATGCTTTTACTTTATCACCAAACAGGAAGTGAATCTATGATTGATGATGAAGCTCAGCACTAGAGACACGAGTGAATGTCTATGTCAGTCCGATATGTTTAAATTTAAGAAAAGGCCCCAAGATAGGCAAAACGGGGGGCAGATATCTTTGCCAGTGGGCCCCCAGTTACCACCCACCTTACCCAGAGGCATCCTAATCAGCTGTAAATACACTGTATTCATTTATCAAATGTTTTACTTGTTTTCTGACGATCAGCTGTTTGAATCACCAACTCATTGTTTCAGCACAGTTTCTAAAAAACCTTTTCTCTATTTCAAATTGATCATCTTTCCCTTCCTATCTGCATGTGCACAGTGCAAACAAAATGAAGGCCCACTCATAAGAAATATTGCTCCACAGCTTTTCTGGCAAAAGCTCAAAAGAGCATTGTTCACCTTAAATATTTATTTACATTTTGCAACGGTTCTTTTTCCAATTAAACATTTGTAAATAGACAAAATTATGGAAATGTAGTTAATTAGTCTAAAGCAACCAGAGATTACCAAAGTACATAGCTTTAAGAACTTGTAAATAAGGACCAAGGTCTCTACAGTGGTTTGTATTTACTTAAAAATATATGTCAGGCAGAGCAGGTCAAATTAACTCTGGATGAGCCTGGAGGAAGTGAAGTCCACCATCTGGTTTGCAGATATTGACTGATAGTGTCCACACACTTTGAATGTGTGTGTGTGTGTGTGTGTGTGTGTGTGTGTGTGTGTGTGTGTGTGTGTGTGTGTGTGTGCTCCATAAGAGCTGTCAGCTGGAAATATAATAAACATAATATAACACACAGGCATATTGAGTTTTAAGATACATGAAAGATTGCAGCTGTCAGACATTATGTAGCTGTAATTTACTTTGTGAGTACTTTGTTCAGTTTTCTGTTTTTTACGTATAATAATGTACTTTCTGAGGCCACTGGTCTTCAGAGGTTCTTATTAGCAGTGGTAGCGGAAGTATTCAAACATTTTGTGTATGTGTCTATTTCATCATCATGACCTGCCAACTCTGGTAGTTTAAAAAATATATTAAACTAGAACAGCACTCTGTAGACATTGGCTAAGGCCCAACATTGCCCTCATTAAAGGGTGGCTGTGGCTGAGGGGGTAGAGCAGTTGTCCTCTAACCTTACGGCAGTTTGATCCCGGTCTCATCCATCTGCGTGCCAAAATGTCCTTGGGCAAGATACCTAACCCCCAATTGCCCCTCATAGAATAAAAAGTGTTTCCCATAGATGCACTGTATTATATATTGGATTTACACCAGATTGCACACACTGTCACTCACTCTCTCTGAGAAATCAACTAAAAAAATTAAAAATGCTCAATGTTAAAGAAAATGAAAACAATTATCGAGATCAGCGCCAGAACTTAATGGGTTCTTCCACCATCCACTTGATTTCTTGAAAATAGGTTGAAACAAACAAACACTGAAGAAAACATAACCTCCTCGGTTGAGGTAACAATGTGAACATGTAACACAACACACATGTAACACACATGTTGTAGAGAAAAGCTACCTGAAAATAAATCTACTTAAATAAAGTTCAGATACATGAAGTACAGTAATGAAGTAACTGTTCACTGTACTTTGTTCCACACTGCTTGGTTTGTGCTCATGGTGACCTCCCATGTGTCTCAGGCAACCTGGACAGTCACGAGGAGATGGAGAAATTGATGGCGAAGTTCCTCGGCGTGGAGTCAGCTATGACGTTTGGGATGGGGTTCGCGACCAACTCTATGAACATACCAGCGCTGGTTGGCAAGGTAAGACCTCAGGTGGTTCCTTGGTAGAGCGGATACGTTCAACACGTAGTTTTGATGGTGTTTGGTACAGCACTACTACTTCTGCTACCTGCTCAGCGGCCTCCCTTAAATAGCAAACAAAGCAGTCGATAAAATAATTCGTACAAAACAGATTATGTAGTGTAGTACTTGATTTAGATAAAAACAAATATATATAGATAATCTATGCTAATTGATGTTGGTGTGGTGTCCTGCAGGGCTGTCTGATCCTGAGTGATGAACTGAACCATGCGTCACTGGTCCTGGGAGCCAGACTCTCTGGGTCCACCATCAGAGTCTTCAAACACAACAGTGAGTGTGTGCTTACAAACACGTCGTCTCAGTCTGACTTTAAATTACATTTATAGCTCCATTTATTTTCTCTCTCCAGCTGCATTCTTGTGTCTATTTTAGTTCCTCGGCTCAAGTGGTTTGGCTTTATCTTCACTTTCTCTCATTACTTTTATATTCCCATGTCATCGATACACCCCGAGTAATGATGTTTTTATTTTACGTAGCCTTCCAAATGCTGTATGTCACCTTTGTTCTCACCACGTTCATTTATACAGAGGAAAATATGTCACATTATAATGTCCCAATCACTGCTGAGGAGGTAGCTCTGCCTTCTATGGCTCTATGGGTCAATGCTCTCAGATTATTATTTCATTAGTTTGAAAAAGTGGACTAGGCTACATTGAGTTTCATTTTAGAGGTCAACCAAAATGTTTATTATTTAGTTCTTTACTTTAGTACTTTATATTAAGCATTAGGCCTATTTCTTGAAGATGTTTTGACATGACAATGTTGGAAAAGCATAAATGATGATGAAATAAGTGAATAGCATCTTCATTTTCAGGAACGGGATATTTTTAACACTGGCTCTTAGTCACACAGTCATGTTTTACTGAAACGTTGATGGACAGATAGCTGAAAAAGGTGCATAGTTCAAATAATTGGACTGTGTTTATCCCATAGACTGAATAAAGATGATGAAGAGTCTGGGCAGTAGTGTTTGGGGCACGGAGCTGTGGTATTGAGTTGCCAGCAATACACACACCAATCAGTCTCAGCTGTCAATCATCACATTTCACTTTTTCCCTTCGCTCACACTTGGACGCTCATCAGTGTGATAAGAACTACCCAAAATAACAGAAAGCATCTTTGAGATAATAATACTAAATGTATTAAACATAAAATAAAGTTAGCTCTTATTATTATGGCACATGAAACACAGATTATATGTATATATTTGTGTGTATTATTAGAATTATTAAAATGATTGGCCACTACTTTGATTAATATAGTATATATAATCAAATAAATCATCATATTTTAAACAGATAACATGATTAGTGTCATATTTAATGAAAAGTCCAACTGGATTAGCATCTAAGATACACAACAATAATCTTGTACTTCTCTGTAATGTTTAATTTTAATTACTTATAGCTGTGTTATTAGAAGTTAATGGTTGGCAACCTTTTCACATCTAATGTTAGCCATTAACTTCAATAGATAAATAAATAAATCACACTCCTCCGATTGGCATTTGTCAATTTCCACTCCTTAGTCAGTTTGTAAATGTAGCTTGTCTTGTCAGCTTCTGCCACAAACCAAATCCATAAATAAACCCATAAGTATGTTTTTAGTTTTTTGAATGGTGTAAAAATAGGAGTTGTTTTGAATGTATCTGTCTCTCGATGTTCCTGTTAGATATGCTGAGCCTTGAGAAACTGCTGAGAGAAGCCATAGTTCACGGGCAGCCCAGGACTCACAGACCATGGAAGAAGATCCTCATAGTGGTGGAGGGCATTTACAGGTAATTAATCCATTCTCCTTGTTACATAGATGCTTTAATTATCTTTTTTTTTTAAGGTGTCAAGCACCAAAATGTGGCCAGACCGCATGGGTGCATATCTGTCAAACTGTCAAAACCACCATGTTAGAGCACAATCCTTCTCCTAGGACGTTACACAGACTTTGCCTTTAACAACTGAAAAAGTTTTCCGGTTCACAACTTTTTAAAATAAAAGCTCTGTAATTCAGCTTAATATAAAGCATTGTAGCAACAAAACAAATACTGTGCTTTTACTTTGTAGACAAATTGCTGAACAGGAAGTGATTCTATGAATGCTGTTGCCATGACGGAGATCAGCGCTCGTGACACCTGTTATTGTCTGTTCAATGTGGGGAAATGGAAAAGTAATTATCAAAATGACCTGCTGGTGATTCTGACCCGAGGTTTGACCCACTGCTGTTGTTTATCTGAGGACATGTTCAGCTCGTCTACAGCCTGAAGACACACTGCCCCTCCCCCACTCACTGCTCCAGAGCACTGATCGTCTGTTTATTCAAATTTGACTTATATTCAATGTCCAGAATGTGACACTGCAGTTCCTCGGGCAATTTTGCAACAGTTGGTGAGATATGTGTTCCACAGACAAACAGACAGACAGGCTTTTGTGTGATTAGTAGGTAGATGATACTGAATGAGTTATGTGTTAGTCTGATGAAGCAGCTGGGAAACACAGAGTTCTTCCTCGAGCTCACATTTCAGGAAAAAAATGAACATGGACACATCAGGACATTTGTGTGACACTGACTGTAAGACTTTGCCTCTTCCTCCCTGCAGCATGGAGGGCAGCATAGTCCGCCTGCCAGAAGTGATCGCCCTCAAGAAGCGCTACCGGGCTTACCTTTACATCGACGAAGCCCACAGCATCGGAGCCCTGGGGCTGAGAGGGAGAGGCGTGGTCGATTACTTTGGTCTAGATCCAAGCGACGTGGATGTCATGATGGGCACATTAACCAAGAGCTTTGGCGCCGCAGGGGGATACATTGCAGGGAAACGGGTGAGGATGAAGGATCGTGGGCTACATTCTTTTTGGGGCATGTGTTTTCAAAGATAAAAGAGGCTGTATTCAGTAGCATCAGCTAAATTCAGGTCAGCAAGTCACAAGATTCACTGGAAATAGTCAAATGACCCAGTGAAAATCAAATATGCTTATTAAATATACTCTATTTTTATCAATAGTGCTTTCGGTGCTTTTATCTCTCAAGATCAAAAGTTAGTGTCGTGACATTTTTTGACAGCTGTCATCCCAGCAATGTGCGTTCACAGCACGTCAGGTCTTCCACGCTGCATTAGGCCTGTTCCATGTCACGTCGCTGTATGACAGCAGCTATTCAAAACAAGGTTCATCCTGATTTCAAGACATAAACAACTTTTTGTTCCAGTGAAGTGCTGAACAGATTGTGACATCTCAGATCTGCATACGTCAAGATGTGAGCAGCTGCAGATGTGTAGCTGAGTCTAAAACAACTTGAAAATGACAAGTGGCGTCATGTCACCTCCTCTTAACACCTTCACTGCAGTCTCAGTTTTTATTTAGAGCTGACATAATGCATGATTATAAGTGTAGGAAGGTGTTGTCAAGCTGCAGGATGTAGCTGACAAAATGGTGCTGCAAATAACCTGGATTTGGCAGGACACGAATCTCAGAAGCCTTTTTTTTTAAATATAATATATAAAATCATTCGGATTCAGTTTGGGTAAATCAGAAGACCTTATTTCAAACTAACGCATTCATTGACACAGACCTGTGTGTGATGTATTCACTGCAGTAACTGAGTGGAAACTAGAGTCTCTGAGCAGCTGTGTAGGGAGTTTAGGAAACATCTGTAAATTATAGCATTAACAATTAATCTTCATGTGAGGTGTGAAGGGGACATCTGTAAAATGTTGGTTCAGTAAATGAGCTATGTCACCCAGCACCACAAGCATATTCTCAAACAATAGGAAACACAGGTTTCCATGTTTTGTTTTAAAGAAGTATATCTGAAGTACCCTGTGCTCAGGGTAGAGAGTGTAGAGTGATACGATCAGTGTTGTTCCTGTATATTTACTCAAACCTCCTGTGTATCTGCTGGCTTTAGGATCTTATTGAGTACCTGCGCTCCCATTCCCACAGTGCAGCCTACGCCACCTCCATGTCTCCTCCTGTGGTGGAGCAAATTATCACTTCAATGAAGTGCATTATGGGAGAGGATGGCACAACAATAGGTAAGTCTAATGTTTTTTTCTCACATAATGTGTAAAAACCTTTTATCTCTGAAGCATCATTAACTGGATCTAATTCCCTCGATTTCTCTTATTACACCAGTCCTAATTTTTCACTGACCCCTGAAAAGAATTTCTAAAGACTCTTAATTCCAACAGGAGTCAGTTGTTAAGAGCAGCTCTTTTTGAATTTATAAGAGAAACCGTGGAGATGTTTGTGACAAAGTAATGAACCAGTTCTGACAGATACAAAAAGACAAAGTCAAAGTTTGTGAAGCAAAACAAGCACAAAGAAGCTTTTGGTGTTTTCCTGTCACAAACAAGATGAGTCCTCTGATGTGTTCACTATAGAGGCTGTCATACTGAATAAAGTTATTGACATCAGTTCTTTCAAATGCTGAACTCAAACAAATTCCATTTATGACACATTTAAAGATTTATGGGAGCAGGCCATGACAAGGCTCAGATGTTTTACTCCGGGAATGGATGATGGATGTCTGATTGAAAGTTTTGACGTGAGAATAGATCAAGAGTGACTACATTGATGAAATCTGTAGAAAGCACTGCATCTCACTAGAAAACAGTAATGGACAAAGAAGGGAAATCATTCAAAGAAAATAATGGTTAAAAAAAAAGGTAATTAATTAAAAATGTAGGTTATTTAAATTAACACTAAATCATCCTTCTCTCAAGAAACTTATACGTTCACATCACGATCAGCACAGCGTAATATATGCTGTTTATAACCTTTCTGCAATGTTCATCATTAGCCACCAGGTGTCAGTGCAAACCAGCACAATTCTACATGGACCTACATGGATTACCTCATCTGATAGCAGCTATTCTGCAAAGAGGAGAAGTAAAGTTCATATTATCCCTCTCCCCACTGCAGGAAACTTTGAAGTTAGTATCAGGAGGTTTATTATAAACCTGTAACCTCTGATTCTTTTTTAGTAACAGTCAAAGGGATATGACCTAAAACAAATATCAGGGTATTATTTAAACCTGACGTGTCTCGTGATGTCTTTCCATCGCCTACAAACTCTAGGGAGGTGCTCCACTGGCGCCTGTTGTCCACATGTGGGTTTTGGACCAAGCAATAACTGGGCATGTGAGGGACAGACAAGACAAATATGTTTCAAACTGATTATGTTCAGAAACAAAACTGAAAAGCGTTTTTTTCCTTGGGTTTGTACAGAAAAATGTGAACCTAGCTGCTCTCTATTGCATAATACTGTAGTCTACTCCATGTGGGAACATTAGACCCCTCCATTCTTCTCTTTAAACTTCAGTGGACCAGAAAACGTGTCCGTTGATGAGGTTTTGTCCTTATATTCTATAAAATGTTAGACTATGTTTTTCTTATTGATATAAGTCGGCTCTTTATTCATGTCATGTTTGACTGTGACACCAGTGTACCGACCACCCCGAAACAGTCAGAGACCAGAGGGTCCTACATTTTATTTGGTGTATATTTGCAGGTGTCTAGGGAGGTAGAGAGGGTGGTCCACTTACCAGAAGGTTAGTTCGATCCCCAGCTCCTTCAGTCTGCATTTCAAAGTGGCCTTGTACAACACACTGAACTCCTAATTGCTCTTGATGGCTGTGTATGTCTGGAAATGCTGTTGGAGTGTTTGTTTGTGTGTGTGTGTGTACGTGTGTGTGTGTGTACATGTGTGTGTGTGTGTGTACGTGTGTGTGTGCGTGCGTGTGTGTGAATGCACTTGTACAGGAAAGTGATTTGAGTGGGTTTTACTGGAAAAGTAAGACAGAACATTTGTATCATTTACCATTTGACTGTCTTCTCTCGAGCTGATCCTCCCCGGCTGTGCACAAGTCCATCTCCATACACTGGCTGAAGTCAGCCGAGGCCATATGTCGTTATAAGGACAGTCCTGATAATGTCTCACAAACATCTATAATTTAAACCTAAAGGCAACACATTGATAGAAGTCCATCTCAGGCAATCAAGTCAGTTCAAGAAGGTAATTTCAGTTAACTGGGTTGAATTGATGTCCCTGGTGTCAGTCTGTAAGAAAAGAGGCTGGTAATTTAGATAAAGAATTAAAATGAAATCACACAGACAATGTGTAACACAAACACACACACACACAGGTGTAAAGTAATAGCCTGGACTTTGATTGTTTGAGGCTTCAGTTGCACTGTTGCGCAGCTCATTCAAATAAATGTTAGTTAGATAAGAATCTGCCCTTGTGCTACTTTTTTATTCCCAAAATGTTTTTCACTTTGGAAGCTGGTGTAGACTTTGTCATCTGTTCTCACCTGGTTGCAACCGTCAGCATGTAATAGTTCTCTGTGTGTAGTCAGGGACCTAAATGTGTGCACACTAAACCAGAGATTGGCGCCTTGTGTTTGATGCAACCGTCGCTTTTCAAAGAACGCAGTGAAGAAGTCTCCTGTGGGAGAAGAAAAACATTACAGCGAAGCTCCGAACTATACCTCCCAGTGGTGCCTGGATGTTTGAGGATGATGTTTTCTCACACGCATCTCATGAATGTGATTGTTTTCTGCTGCTTGTCAATTCTCTTCTTTTCAAAGCATCATCAGCCGAGCTATAAAGGATTTCCTTTCTGTTTATCTCTAGAGATTTCAAATATGATAAAGAAAAACATATTTGAAAGGGTTATATATATTTTTTAAAGGTTTTCACCCTAACCTTTATGACTGTGTGCATTACATGAGTTAAAGAGGGATGCACAATATGGATTTTTTCAAGATTAATTATCTCACATTTAAAAAAGAATTTTATATAACCCGATGGCTGCCGTTGTGTGTGAACCGGAGCACTTCTGTGCGTTCATTAATGACATCATGTCTTAAGTCTTCATCCAGCCACTGATTCACGTTAAACTAAGCCTACTAACTAATGTCACAGGTCCATGTGTCTGTGGTAAAACCTATGTCACTTTCGTTGGTATCAATCAGACTTTGAATGTATCATATTGAGGCTGAGAGCTCTTAATGCATCCAGAAATTGGTACCTGAACCCAAAAAGACCAGCAACGCGTTCCCGTCCCTCATTTGTGAGCTGTGTTACAATCTGCTTCTACAACATCCGATCTCTTTAACAAGTTAACGTTAATTCACAAGGTCTCAAACCCAAGAAAGAAAGTTAGTGAAATACATCCAGGTTTTCTTTAAATCCTCTACTGCTGACTGAAACCAGACCCAGACCAGACTGTTTGTCTGTCTTCGCCTCCTCACTTGCACGGATTGGAAGTGAACGGGAGGTGAAGACAACATTTCACGATACTTATATGATTTTTTTGTTAAAAAAAAAAGTCTTTGCGATTGTCAGCTGTATTTATCGACTATTTATCGAGGTCCAGTGTGTAAGATTTAGGTGAAAGAGATCTATTGGCAGAAATTTAATGTAGAATAATCCTCATGATGTTTTCACTAGTTCCTTTCATCTAAATTGTATGAATTGTAGTTTTATATCCTCTAATAACTTTATGTGTGTGTGTTCTTCGTATCATCTCTAGGCCTTGAACGTGTTCGGCAGCTGGCAGAAAACACAGTCTATTTCCGCAAGAGGCTTCGAGAAATGGGCTTCATCATCTACGGCAACGACGACTCTCCCGTCGTGCCCATGATGCTCTACATGCCTGCCAAGATAGGGTGAGCCTGGAGCTCTTAACTGGCTGCTGTTCAGGGGGGGGGCGACTCCCTCTGGACAGTTTACATCAATACACATTGATTAATAAAATAACCGGATTTCACACAATTATTTTTAATGTCTCTGATAACATCATTATCAGAGTGATGAAATAATTATCAGTTGATTAATTTCTCTGAAATAGCAGTGGGGAGCTGTGCCTTTTGAAAAATGATGATGTCTCTAAAAAAATAATTAGTTTGAATGAAATGTCAGTAGTGACGGTTTCCAATTACTTTAATTTCTTCAGATGCCGCTTTGATTTAATTGAATTGTTGCTCATAGCTGTGAGAGTTGTGAGATCCATGGTTTTTTTGTTTTTAAAAGAAATAATCATTTCCGGCAGATTAAATACAGAGCACATTATGTACAGATTTGAATCTATCACATGACATAGATTCTAATAAATGACACATGAAATCTAGAATACAGATTTTCATTCGAAATGACTAAAGTACGTTTTTTATGTATTTGTATTCATGTATTTGTGTATTTTCTATCTTTAAAGGTGAAAGTTGAGTTTTTGACTTTGGGAACAGTAGTTTGAAAAAACGAAATCATGAGTACAAGAGAAAAAAATATGAACAATACACTTGACATTAACATGACAGTTCCCTTCTTTGTTAGAAGTGCTGTTGAAATCCTCCACTCTGTACAACTGACTAACACTTTTTTTTTTAATCTCCTCCATGTTTGTTCCACCAGAGCGTTTGGGAGGGAGATGTTGAAGAGGAACATCGGGGTGGTGGTCGTGGGCTTCCCAGCCACGCCCATCATCGAGTCCCGGGCACGCTTCTGCATCTCAGCCGCCCACACAAGAGAGATACTGGACAAGGTAAACATTACTTCTCACTGCTGGGTGACACAGTATTATGCACTATATATTATACAATATTCCTCTGTTGGCAGACAGTAGCCTGTATGAGCCTGGGCTGAGTCTTGTTTTAAAAAAATCTGTAGAATTCTTTGCGTTGCTTCAGACACACTGATTCGCTCTCGCCTCTCTGGCTCTGACATCATTATAAGGGAGGCCCTATCACAATATGAGATGTGAGTTTTAGGAGTTGAAATGAATTAACTTGTGTTGCTCGACATGAGCGCGGAGCTTTGATTGGTCTTGGCATCACATCAAACAGCCGCCCACTCTTCTCAACCAGGGACGCTGCACTTTACTGATGTGAGCTCACCGCAGAGCTGACCGCTCTTCCTTTTCCACTCACCACCTCAAACTAAGATTCCCCTCAGTTCTTGTCTTACTCAAACATAAATATAGATCATCTCACACAGCGGCTGAACTTTTCCTATATTTCATATCTAATTGGGGTGTCCTTGAGGCTCAGCTGCCTCTGATGCCGACTGTGTGTCTATTCAGGGCTGTTATCAGCTCCCGTTCTTCTTGAATTGAAAAATAGGGGTGTCTGTCTGTCCTGGTGCTAAAACTTCTGTTAAAAACTAACCCTTCCTCTGTGTCACTCCCTCACACTTTGATATATCATTTTCACTTGTGGTTTTTCTTCTCCTTACTTCACTACTGCACTTGTTTTATTTTTGTCCCTGTCAAGACCATTAAATCCAAGTTTTAAACACATGACAAATCACACACAAGTACTCCTTGGAAGAACCGATTTACTGAGTTGGCAATTGTTGGCATTGTTCCATGTTTGGCAGTAGTGGATTGTAACACGAGTACATTTACTTTGTTATTGTACTTAAGTAAATTTTTCACGTATCTACCCATTCATTTAGATTCCTTTTTGGGGTATTTATTTCACTTTTACTTGGCAACATATATGAGTTGTGTTACATGTTCACATTGTTGTAATGTTTTTTAAAGTAATCAGTAAGGAGAGGGGAGTTTACAGCAGCTGAGATGTGTTACAAAAGTGCAATAACAGAAAACACAGCTGCAAAAGCTACAGCACAACTAAAAAAGCCACACAATGGAAACACAACCTCAGTGGAAGTAAGTGACAACAGATGTTGACCATGAAATGAGCAGAGTAACCTACAACAGCGAAGTGAGCCGTGGTTTGCAGCTTAAAATTAGATTCTTGTCTATTTGAGGTGTGAGGTACAGGATGTACAGGACGAGATGTTTGAGCTCCGAGTGCTTGAGCTGAAACATCTCATGTAGACAAGTGTCACAGTACAGCTGTTTTCAGACGTACACTGATCTATAGATACGTCCATAGAGAGTCAGGAGAATTCGATATGTGAACACAGCAGGGGATCCACCGCAAGTGAGTCGGGGGGGGTTGATGACACGACAGATGCAAAAATGAAAACAGATATCTCCAGGTGAAAAAGTGGCCTCATACACATAGAAAACACCGGCGAAGATGTCGATGTCTGGTGCCGTAAACATGACGTGATCTCCGCAGCAGAATTATTTTATTACTTTTTTATCTAATTATTTGTACTTTTACTTAAGTCAAATGTTTGAGTACTCTATCCACCACTGGATTTTGTTTTTTTTAAGTGCAAATCAGAAATACACACAAAGCTAATGGAGAGACGAGGATGGAGATGAATAGACACAGTTGCTGCAAACTCGTTTGAAGCTGCATCCACTTCCAGTTGCACTGATCACTTCTGGCAGTGGACTTAATGGCTCCAATGTGTGAGGAGAAAGGAGACGGATAATTATCAGCTGACTCTGCAGCTCTCCTCAGCTGTGGGATAGTAGTAGGAGTACACAAATAGCCCACAACTAAGTGTTCTCTGTGAGAACCACGGTACACTACCTGTCCAGCACCAAACAGACACACACTGGTAGAAACAAGCCTGGGAACATTCTTTCTCAGAACTAAAGCAGAGCTGAAGGTAGAGTACAAGATGCATTAACTAGAAAGTCAGATACAATAATCCAAGTGAATGCTAGAGAGGAAAATGGTCACTCATTTACCTGATTTAATCCCACATTCTCTTGCACAGTCTGGCCACCTTGCATCCCCTTCATTCCCTGGAAATGTTGGTCGTAAATGAACAGTACTTGTCCATGAGGTTCAGTTCAGCACATGACCACTGGTGGAAGTCTCAGAAAGTCCGCCCGGCCGCACTTAGTGATCTTTGAAGCACAAAGTATTTACCTGTCAGACCAGCTGTGTCACCATAACGTCCTCAAATGGTGTCATGGTTTTTGTTTTCAGATTTCCTGTGTTTGTATGTAGTAGTAGATGCAGACTCTAGATTACAGAGTTCCTAAGCAAGTGTGTGAACTATGGTGCTAGCATTACAGTCAATGCTAATGTCTGTGCACACATGTTGGTTTAAAAATCAAGTAGCCTGCAGTAAATGAGTGATCTGACACATTCACCACATCAGCTTTAAAATGTGATTGTATATGCCTGTTGTGTTGCCAACTTGTTGCACTGCCCCCAAGTGGCCAAAACCCTATAAATGCAGCTTTAAGTGAAAAAAACAAGCTGTTTGATTGGTCTGTGGTGATGCTGGTTGCAGTTTTCTGTCTGAAACTGTAAAAGCAACCTGCATAACTGAACTTTAGTAAATGTGCACCTCCCCTGGCAAATCATTTTTAAATCATCTCTCCAGGGTGTTAGCTTTAGACGGGTGTAACATCTGCCTTGTCGCCCTTGTGTGTTTTTGTAATTGTAACTGTTTAACAGCTTGGAATGCAGAGACGTTTTAATTTAACTCTGAATAAACTACAACTCTGAGTTTCAGCAAGAATAAAAACGGACTCACCTATCAGTAGGTTAGAAATAGTTGGTCCATCTGCAGCATTAAAGTCTTTTCTGTTTGTGATTTAATCTTCTGAGACAGTTTTCTGTCCAGATCCTGCTTGGTGCATCTTTAAATTTGCTCAGGCCACATATCGCCCTTCACGTTGTCAGCTTTTTTTTCTTGTATTAATGTCTCCACAGGCTCTGAGTGTCATCAGTGAGGTTGGAGACCTGCTTCAGCTCAAGTACTCCCGGCACAGAATACAGCCCTCGTTGGCGCGGCCTCTCGACGACAACGTGTACGAGGACATTGACGACTGACTGTCCGCTCCTCTCACCAAGTGGCGTGAGCCTCGGCTGCCCCAGAAAATACCGAACGGGTCAAGACGGATCACAAGTCTTCCACAAGGAGCGAGATGTGCACAGGTGCCCCTTGTCACTAGCTTGCCATAATTTACCCCTCCCCACTCATACAAGAGGAAAAATATTTAAAACTAATTCTACTTTGCCTTACCCAAACATGCAAAACCTGTGGAAAACTCACTGAAAAACTGCACCTCTGCCTTTGTTTGTGAACTTTTTATTTCTCTTTTATAAGTGTGCATCTAAGATTTTGTTTCAGGGGGGTGGCACATGTGTGTTTGTGTGTATGTTTGCAGTGCTTGTGGCATTCATCACGTCAAACCTTACTGTTACGTATGTGAAGTGGACAGATGTGAGCTTTCCAAATGCCTCTGCGTTTCTGGGATATTGTTCCTTAATCAAAATTCCATACAAGTCCCTGCTCCTTTAGCTCCACCGACAAAGTCAGAGCCTGTTTGTTGGAACATAAAATGACACAAAATGAAATGTGCCTGAAATAGAAAGACTTCACTTTCCATCCATGTCTGGAATTCCTGACAATTAATGTTGCGTGCAAAAACAATTGCCAAATATTAGGTGCTGAACAGCAATTAATAGTTTTTGGAATGCAAACCTTTCAGGAAATAGACATATCTACTTTCTTCCCAAAGTCAATACCGTCAAAGCTTTTACTGAAATTAGATGAAGCTCGAGTCTGTCAACTGTCATTTTTACTTTTTGTCTCAAACACACAAAACTTCGAACCTGTCAAAATAATAAATTGTAGAGGTGCTGGGATGCAAATTGAACCAAAATCAGCTGCACATGGTTTCGTCCATTAAAAACCATCAAGTATGTCTGTTTCGATTCTAAGTGGGAAAAGTGAAACCGACAAATCTCCAGCCACTCCTCCAAACACGAAGTGTCTTTTCTGACCTTCAAGTAAGAAATATTGATCACTGACATTTTCACTAAGAATAACAATCAGATTTACAGCTGATATTTATCCCACCAATCCAAACTTAGAACATTTAGTTATGAGTATAGTTGAGTTCAGTTATCTTATTTGCTGCCATTGAAAAATGGTAAGAAATGAAATTTGATCCCCAATGCTCATGAACGTTTTCCGCCTCTTTTCACCACTTCTGTTACATGTCACCATCACTGGCATCCTGTGTGTATCCAGTGTTTTTGTTCTTGTTTGTTGTTTGTACCATTTTAGAGTCTTACATTTAATGTAATTCACAGATCACAAGGGCGGAGTTGTAACTGTCAAAATAGCCTTTTTTATGATTGGAAGGCTCAGTGTTATGTAAGTGTAAGAGGGTCAGTTTAGTCATTTTGAGGTATGGAGAAGAAAAAATTATATTTATATACTAATCTCTCCAGGCCTGACAGGACAATACTAAGAGGACTAAAGTAGACTGGGTGAAATTCAGCATTGATAGACATTTCCTGCATTTCCACTTCATGTCTTGGGTACGGAGCCGCAAAAGTCCTAAAAGGTGATTGATATATATATATATATATATATATATACATGTTTGTGTGATTTTTGTGCCCACAAAATAACTTATATGTATAGATAAATATCTTGGTGCAGGGGGGAGTCAGTGATATCTCTTTTTAGGACACACATGTCGTGAAGCCTTCCCTGATTTGATTTGGTTTTTAATTTCCCTATTTCTGATTTGTCATCCTGTATTGGTTTTTACACATCAAACTATTTATTTCTTCTATTTCAAAACAGGTTTTATGACTAGTCTGTTTTTTTACTTGCCGACACAGTAAAGCATTTTGAAACGTGGTCTAGTTTATTATGTTTAATACAAGATATTGACTCGTTCCCACACAGTAAGTGTCCTTATTGCACAGGATAAATATCTTGTTTGCACAAGATAACCGTGTGGAAAAAGTTAATGTTTGTATAGTCTATTCTGCACCTATTTAAACCAGGGAAGTTGCTTCATAGCTTTTTAAAGCTTTCATTATACGACATGTGAAAATAAAACTTGATGAGCTGAGTTCGCTCTATCACGGTGGCCGTGTGTATCTTAAACCACGATAGATGCATATGAAAGCAATGTATTGTGTGCGGACAAGTTATTTATCTTGCGTGCACAAGATTTAAAAAAAAATCACCGTTTGGGACTTAAGGGCCTCTGTACTTGGTGCTTATTAGTACTGACCTCATTGCTTTGTGATATTGTTAAAATGCCTTGCAAAACAAAGTGTTATGTTTCTGCTGTGACTCAAACGTCATTGATAATTTTAAAGTGTTTGTGTGTGTTGCTGCACTTTTATTCTTGCTTCCATGTACACACCCGTCTGTCTATTGAACTCTCGGGTTATCTTTACAATGTGCTATGGAGATTTTAAACTCCCATATGAAGGCAGCTGTAAAAAAATAAATAAATACACGTAAAAAAAAAAAAAAAAGTCCCACATACATACAATTACTCTTGCACGTGTGCAATCTGGCCAATATCATGTTAGCACTTGTTCCATGTATCGCTGCATGTACAGCTGCTCTACACCACAGCCAGATACTGTGATATACACACTTCTGCTATGATGACCTGTTTTGAATGTTGTGATCCAAATCTGCTTAGCTCCAGAGAAAGTTTGAGTTAACGTGTCTGTCAGGGTCCAGGAAGGTTGATTTTTTTTTTAAAATTAGTTTGATTTCAAATTGATGTCACTGTAACTGTGGTGCTTGTGTCATAGAAATGAATTTGTTTGTTATTATCCTCGAAGCAAAGTGTGACGATGTCATACTGAGGAAAGCAGGCGTTGACGACATATTTTAATATCAAAATGTCCTTTACATAATATGTTAAGTCTCCAAACTTCACCGCCCCATGTCTGATTTATGAAGCAGCTTTAAATATAATTTAGAGAATCCTTCAGAATTTTTAGTACTTATACAAAAAATAAGAAGATGTACTGTTGTGACACTTCCACAGTATGTTCCCAGATGATCTTAACAATTAAACCACATTGGTCTAAAATAAACAAAGCAGATTAACCTTCCTGCCTTTTTTAAGGTCTGTGAGCTTTGTTGGTGAAAGAGAACTGTGGAAGAGGGCCCCACTATTTTGTACAAAGTTTATTTTGTTGCCACGGGTTAGGGTTGATGACAGTATTTTGTTTACCATGAAGTAACCAGAGAAAGATTGTCGCCACTATTAAAGGCAGCATTTCTCGAAAGCACCGGAGCCGTGCCGATAACGGAGGCAATTATTCCATCGGCATGTTATCACACGTCAGAGATAAGTATCTTCTGATACAGTGCCTTTTGATGCCAATGATTTTCTAAGAATTCTGACAAGAGTAAGTGTCATTTACTTGGATTGTTCATCTTAAAGTCTAATTGGTTTCTTTTACTACAACTGTGCTTATTATTAGTGCTGGGTGTGTTCTGTGTTGACTAATGGCCATGCATTTGATCATAGTAAACGCACTATTTGCGACATATCAGCAAGTGATAATTATCAAAAAATAATGAAAACTGTTTGTAAAGTGTCACCCATGTTAATGATACTAAATCATTAAACGAATAAAAACAAAACTGTTTTGCATTGTCTTCTAATTTGTTGACTCAACACAAGGAAATAAGATGATCTACTGTTTATCACGTTCGTGGACAGAAATATAAGAAACCTGTTTAATTCAATTCAATGTAAATTGGTACATATGAATTAAAAGTCAATGATCATTTATATGAATAGAAAAATGACAACAAACACACATTTCGTTATCTTTTTAGTTGCTTTCACATCCTCCACCATAAACCCATATAATTCAGCAATTACTGAACTTGTGTAGAACTCATACAAATAATATAACAGAGTTGAAGTTGAAAAGGGCAAAAGGAAGCGAGGAAACGCTGTTGTTAATCCAATTTGACGCCAAATGCAGGTAAGCAAAAAATAAATATAATAAATGCAAATGTAGACGTGTCACACCCCACGATAATGTGGCCCTATGAGGCGAACAACATGTAAAATCACTGACCACCACTGACACGAATCATAAAGTCTTTTAAAACAGCAGAACCATGGGATTTATTATCATCCAACAACACATTACACACAAGGTTCAAATCCCATGCTGAGGCCCAGCAGTCCCCACACTGGAAGCCTCCCTTCTGATCCTGACACAGGTTTTTAAAGAACCTCAATCCACTGGCAGGTGCTCCTCATTGATGACTGATCGGTTTAATCAGGCTGCAGGAGAGACCAGAGAAAAACAGGGACACAGTACAGGAAACACACAGAGCCGTAAGAAGAAAAAAAAACTGTTTATTCACACACTGAGCCTCAGCAACACCTTTCTTTCATCTGTTTAATTTACTTATTTTTGTACATACTTAAAATACACACTGACCGACGGACAGATAAATAACTGGGCACAGGGATTTTGGTTTTATACAACATTCTTGATCGACGTATTTATTTTGTGGGAATGTATTATATTTTCTTTGAGTTATCAGTTCCTGGCTGGAGGTCCAGGGAGGCCCGGGCGGACACACTTAAATGGTCTTGATTAGTAATTGGACTGCACCATATTCCACATAATCATGGGGAGGGGCATTGTTTTATTCAGATTTTTTGGGGTTACATTTGCGACTACTGTTTTGATATTTATGTTTTCTTAGTTTCTTAGTATGTTTCAGTCTACCTCCCTGTGTGTTTGAGTGGCCTGATCAGCCACTTCATGTGTTTCATGTTTTCCCCTGTGTGTCAGTTTGTTCTGTTAACTTGTCTTCAGTTGCTGCCTGAGTTTAGTTTTATAGTTTTATTTTAGTCTTATGTGCCCAGATTTGTTGTGAAATGTATTTTTGCCTTTTTGTTAATAAAAAACTCCTTGCGTCTCTCTGGTCTACCTGCTCCGCCCCTGACAACCTGATGAGCTGGACATGAGTTTTATCTTCTGCTCAATGGGCGAGGTCAAGACGGATTGTTAGGTTTCCTAACAGGTCTGCTAATGGTTAATATCTTGACTAATTTTAAAGTAGAGAATGGGAGTATGTGGCTCCATCAGGAGCTCAAAGGCCCGCGTGTTGTCTTTTATGTAAGACTTTAGCGTGGGTGCACCGTCTGATAATCTTGATAATCTTTAACACTTAAATGTCTTTCATTTAGACTTTTACACCCAGAAAATGACAGGTGTAGTAGGTTACAGAGCACCTGGGCTAACAATTTATCGTCAACATGTTCTAATCCACTTCTGGTCAGTTCCAGTCTCCACCAGAAAACCTCTCCTTCTCCTGCGAGCTACACACATAACCAGAAGGTTTTAGTTTTCTAAGATTGTGACAGAAGATAACTCCAGGATTCTGTTTTGTGCTCTTGTTAAATTTTGAAACCCAATACCAAATGATAAAAGTACAACCTGAGCACATTCATCGCCACACAACACATCCCATGAGACAAACAAGCAGTACACATTAAACAGCAGCAATAAGAAAGAGGACATCTCGTAAACATTAATCCTACCTAAGGTTAGCGGCAGGTTTAATCATTAAGTGCTACTATGACTGCAGGTTACAGCAGCAACTTATCAACCAGTTCCTGTGTCTTGATGGCATTATAGAGGCAGTTGAGTGGGTGAGTGACATCGTGTGCGTCCAAGGTCGCGATGCAAGCGATGGCCTCACCACTGAGCTCAGAAGGGTTGGGTGTGGTAAAACCTGTTATTTTGGGAGCAGTTCGAGGATGCATGTGTTAGTGTTGTTGGACTAACAGTGGACAAGTGGAACAGTGAAGCAGAAGGTGTTGCATGATACTTTTGTACAACAGTAGAAGAGGATGTGGGCTGTTTGTGGATGAAAGATAATCTTTGGTGGCTTCTTTTTGTAATTCCTTTGTGTACTGTTTCCTGTGTTCTCCAAGGTAGTAGAAGCTGTAAAACGTTTAAACCAGAGATGTCAAACTCAAGGTCCGCGGGCCACTTCCGGCCCGTGGTACAATTATATCTGGCCTGCAAGAAAATATCACGTCTATCTTAACTGGCCCGCCGATGCACAATGCCCAGCTAGACACGCACGGAACGAGTGCCCCTCCTCACCTGCCAAGTATTTGGTGTTGGTAAATTATTTTTCGAGTGTTCCAGAGTGCTGCTGTCTGCGCCCCGTCACTAGACACAGGAGTCGTCTCACTGATGCACACCTTCACTCCATCTTGAAGGTTTCCACAGGACAGATCCTAACCCCAAACATTAATGAACTAGCAGCCAAGAAAGGATGCCAAACATCTGGCTCTGTCACATGTAAATAAAAGAAGAATGTAGCCGATCTAAAGATGTTTTATTTTGCAGTTTATCCAATATCCTGTATGTCCTGTTTAATAAATGTTGACCCTGTTCGGCCCTCGACGTAGTCCCAGTTTTTAATTTTGGCCCTCTCTGTGATTGAGTTTGACACATAGGTTTGACACCACTGGTTTAAATAGTTTCCTTGTTTATAGGGTTCTGACTGGCTGCCTATAGCCATTTCTTTTGTTCCTTAACTTAAGGTGGAGGTGATAACTGTCACTCTACTGGGTGAGGTGGGTAACAGTGCTGTGATAGTCCAATGTGGAGATGTTGTTTCTGATGAGAGACAGAATTTCAGTAATATGTTTTCACGCTATCTTCATCTTGGGCCCTGAGTATCAGAGAAACATGACATTACACCTGGAGTTGCACGAGGGAGCTGCTTTGCCCTCTACATGATTGATTTAGGGTGATAATCGAGTTGAGGGACGTTAGAACTATTTTGTGGGAGGGGATGCTGACTACTTCCTCTGTCTGTCATCTGTGGACGATAGACTTTACCCCTCACAACGTTATCGTTTCTTTTGTGGTGACCCACCCAAGACAGGACTGTAGCAGTGCGGACTAAACTGAGCTAATGACCTGGCCCAAGGCATTGATTTCAAATATCACGTAAACTGAGAAGCTTATATGTAATAGAACAACAAAGCGTCTTTAGTTTCCTGATGATACAAAGGGTTAATTTTGAAGAGGCTGTTACGCATGTTCACATCAATCATGACAGGACAATAAAGTTCTTTCATAAAGAGTCAGAAGTCATGAAGAGAATCATAGGCCCTTGAAGGTACAAATATTTGTAGCCTACTTTAACAAGAGACCAATTCTGAATGGAAGCTGCCGATTCATATAGTGATGTATTAATATTCATGCTTCATCTCAATTAAATAAAAAGACTGTAATGCAGCCTATGACTGGTCTCCTTCAAATGTACTATATTGTCACATCATATGAAATAACTGCAGCTGCAGAACAGTACATTTTACAGCAAACAACAAAAGAACACAAGGACATATTGCGAAAGACCCAGAATAATAATGAAGAATAAAAGTGAGTTGAATATTGCACCTGCCCTAAAACACTTAAAATGATAAAACACTAAAAGGATGTGGCAAGATGAAAAATAGAAACAGGCATTAAAACTTAAAAACCAAAGTGTGAAATGTGCTCGACAAGTGCAAAGGTTATTAAGTTACATGACCGAATATACACATCTTCTTATTGAGTAGCATGATGGACGTTAGGATGAATGAGAACTTGACGTGGTTGGTTTTACACTTACAGGCTCTGTAACGTTAGCCCAATGGTAACAGGTCAAATTCAGGGACCAGAATGTGTGACGGGTCATTAGGGATCCTGTGAGCCCGTCTGACCACAGAACTTTCAGAAGGTCTGAAGGGAGGGATAGTCCTTCCCCGGCACGCGCTGCACTGATGGAAGCATATTGCACTCACTTGAGAAAAAGAAAAATCTGCCTGCTTTTTTTGAAATAATGATGAAAATCTTCTTGTTAATTCTGAAAAACACAGATGCTTTTCTGATTTAACAAGAATTTTGCAAAGTAAATTCTGCTCAGTTTTTCTGAATTAACATAATAGTCTACTGTGTAATCCAGCAAGAGGCCAATGTCCCACCTGTTTAGTCTAATCCGGTTTTATTTTGCTTTGTGTTTGGAGAAACTCTGTTATTTAAGTGTCTTACTGTTGACGATGTAGGTGTAACCATACAGCACTGTCAGAGTGTTGCTTATCAGGGTTGGGTTGATATGCTGGTGAGAGCTCCTTGCAGGATTTTGAGGTATAGGACCTTTTAAAATAATACATGTAAATATATAATAACAAAATTTTTCCACTTGTTGAAGTGGTGGCATGGGGTTGTAGCACAACACTAAAAAAAGAATAAAAAGAATCTTGAAAATAATTGACAAGGTGTAATAAGTTTAAACAGTGTGTTTATCTCCTCTAATGTAAATTTAAAATCACTAGCCCGACCCTAACCATACGAGCATTTGAGGGAATCTACCGTACAGCTGAATTCTGGCCTAGTTTTAGTTTAAAATCCTCATAAACCTTTTTGAAAGATCATGTCCTTAATTTCAGACGCACAGAGAACCGATAGATAGAACAATATTCTAAGTCCCAGCCCATCTGAACGATTGCATAACTGCTCTTCATTGCAGCCTTATAAAGCTAAAGTCCAGCACAGTGTGTCTTTCTTGCAGGGCTGCACTTCTCTTCACTCTTCATCAACTTCTCT